TAACTCCACAAATTATGGTCGGATAATGGCGGTTATCGAACTTGTCCGAGCTTTCATGGTAATTAACCTTGTTGTGAAGTTTGAAGTTAATCCGTTAATAATTACTCGAGATATCGAGCAGACATCGTTCGCATGCCCGCCCGCCCGCTCACGTGATAACATAATACGTCCCCGTCTTCGACGGGCGTATAAAAAGTTTGCAAGTATGAAATTATGTCTCAGGCAATCAGAAATGACGGTTAGTTACATTGAATTACTCAAGGAGGATATCCAAGGAGTATTACAATGTACCACCAAAATAGACACTGGTTCATCAGAAAGGGCAATAAAACGTTATTACTTACATTGAAAAACTTCATTAACCACTATTTCTTTTTATGTTTTATTTTCATTTAATTTCCATAAAGTCTACATATTATTGAATGGACAGCTAGGACATATCACTCACGATATATCTACTAAATCTGTAAAAGTCGGACAGGTACCTACATTGTCTGCCTCAGACAGGCGGGCGGGATCCTTGGACACGAGTGAGGCCAGATTGAGGTAGACATTCAGATGGTTAGGGGCCACTCGTGTTGTGTAACTTTTACCTGGAATAAAGAAAGAACCTTCTATGTTGTATTAGGTACATAGAGGAACACACAGAATGCATGGAATCAGTCTCATTTGACTGACTCTTGAAGTCAGCCTTGTGTGACTGACACTGTGTAATCAGTGTTAGGTAACTGAAACTGACCTGGGATAATAGGAGGGAACAGGTCCATGGCTCGTTTGTAGGCGGACTCTGCCTCGGTGGTCTGGTTCATAGTGTTGTATGTCCTCCCTACATTCATGTGGGCCCCAATATCATCTGGCTGTACACTGTAACATTGACACGCTACGGTCAACTTACTGTAACTACTTGACAATGATTTATATTGAATTAGACTAATGGATCAATACTCAGGAAAGATAGATATATCAATACTCAGAAAGATAGATCAATATTCAGACATATAGATCAATACTCAGATAGACATTTAGATCAATACTCAGACAGACAGATAGATCAATACTCAGACAGACATATAGATCAATACTCAGACAGACAGATAGATCAATACTCAGATAGACAGATAGATCAATACTCAGTCAGACAGATAGATCAATACTCAGACAGACAGATAGATCAATACTCAGAAAGACAGATAAATCAATACTCAGACAGACAGATAGATCAATACTCAGATAGATAGATATATCAATACTCAGACAAACAGATAAATCAATACTCAGACAGACAGATATATCAATACTCAGACAGATATATAGATCAATACTCAGACAGAACGATAGATCAATACTTTAGATGGACAGATACATCATTACTCAGACAGATAGATCAATACTCAGACAGACAGATAGATCAATACTCAGACAGACAGATAGATCAATACTCAGACAGACAGATAAATCAATACTCAGACAGACAGATAAATCAATACTCAGACAGATATATAGATCAATACTCAGACAGATAAATCAATACTCAGACAGACAGATAGATCAATACTCAGAAAGACAGATAAATCAATACTCAGACAGATATATAGATTAATACTCAGACAGATAAATCAATACTCAGACAGACAGAGAGATCAATCCTCAGACAGACAGATAGATCAATACTCAGACAGACAGACATTTAGATTAATACTCAGACAGACAGATAGATCAATACTCAGATAGACATTTAGATCAATACTAAGATAGACAGATAGATCAATACTCAGATAGACATTAAGATCAATACTCAGACAGACAGATAGATCAATACTCAGAAAGACAGATAAATCAATCCTCAGACAGACAGATAGATCAATACTCAGACAGACGGATAGATCAATACTCAGATAGACATTCAGATCAATACTCAGACAGACATATAGATCAATACTCAGACAGACAGATAGATCAATACTCGGATAGACAGTCAGATCAATACTCAGACAGACAGACAGACAGATCAATACTCAGATAGACATTTAGATCAATACTAAGATAGACAGATAGATCAATACTCAGATAGTCATTAAGATCAATACTCAGACAGACAGATAGATCAATAATCAGATAGACATTCAGATCAATACTCAGACAGACATATAGATCAATACTCAGACAGACAGATAGATCAATACTCGGATAGACAGTCAGATCAATACTCAGACAGACAGACAGACAGATCAATACTCAGATAGACATTTAGATCAGTACTCAGACAGACAGATAGATCAATACTCAGACAGACAGCTAGATCAATACTCAGATAGACATTCAGATCAATACTCAGACAGACAGATAGATCAATAATCAGATAGACATTCAGATCAATACTCAGACAGACAGATAGATCAATACTCAGATAGACATTCAGATCAATACTCAGACAGACAGACAGACAGATCAATACTCAGATAGACATTTAGATCAATACTCAGACAGACAGATAGATCAATACTCAGATAGACATTCAGATCAATACTCAGACAGACAGATAGATCAATACTCAGATAGACAGACAGATCAATCCTCAGACAGATAAATCAATACTCAGACAGACAGATATATCAATACTTTAGATGGACAGATAAATCATTACTCAGACAGATAGATCAATACTCAGACAGAATGCAGACAGAACGCAGACAGAAAAATCAATACTCAAGATTGAAAGATCAATACTGAGACAAGAATCCACAGGAGTGGATGTGTCGCCTGCACAGCGCTTTTAGTGAGAAAAGTGTTTTGGCTTGAACAACAGCAATCCCATGAAAACAGTCAGTGTGAAGTTTTAAGGTTGATCGTCCCAAGGAAACTGGACTTATTGCACGGAAACAGCTTTTCTATTTATAGTAACTGTGACATTGACCTTTGACCTTCCGAACTGAAAAGCAATCCCAAGCAAGCACTATTGGTAAGAAAGAGCTGTATGAAGTTTGATTTTGATCAACCAAAAGAAACTAGTTATTGCACAGAAACTGATTGTCTACTTATAGTAATGGTTACCTTGACCTTTGACCTTCTGACCTGAAAAGCAATCTCAAGTAAATACTTTTGGTAAGAAAGCAATGTATGAAGTTTGAGTTCAATCAACCCAAGGGAACTCGAAAGTTCTCGCACAGAAACCGTGTTTAGGAAGCCGCAACTTACGACGCCGACAAAGTAATACCTACATATGTTGACATGTTAGGAATTATCAAACAGTAATGAGTCCTTAGATAAACTGAGAATACACACAGTGACACTAAGGTATACACACCTGGCTGCCTTAATGAAGTACTCCAGTGCTTCAGAGTAACGTTCCTCCTTCTCCAATGCATGACCCACATTATTAAAGCACTTTGCATTCCTCTGATTGACCTTCAATGCGGACTTAAACAAGGTATACTCAGATTTCCTAGAAAGAAAAAACAAATCTTTGATAGCATTAACAGCTAGCTCATTGATAATGTATTACAAGGTTGAGCACTAACAGCTAGCTCATTGATATTGTATTACACACAGGTTGAGCACTAACAGCTAGCTCATTGATAATGTATTACACACAGGATGAGCACTACATGTAACAGCTAGCTCATTGATATTGTATTACACACAGGTTGAGCACTAACAGCTAGCTCATTGATAATGTATTACACACAGGATGAGCACTAACAGCCAGCTCATTGATAATGTATTACATACAGGATGAGTATTAACAGCTAGCTCATTGATAATGTATTACACACAGGTTGAGCACTAACAGCTAGCTCATTGATAATGAATTTAACACAGGACGAGAACTAACATTAACAGCTAGCTCATTGATATTGTATTACACACAGGTTGAGCACTAACAGCTAGCTCAGTGATAGTGTATTACACACAGGATGAGCACTAACAGCTAGCTCATTGATAATGTATTACACACAGGACGAGCACTAAGAGCTAGCTCATTGATAATGTATTACACACAGGTTGAGCACTAATAGCTAGCTCATTGATAATGTATTACACACAGGTTATGCACTAACAGCTAGCTCATTGATAATGTATTACACACAGGATGAGCACTAACAGCTAGCTCATTGATAATGTATTACACACAGGTTTAGGACTAACAGCTAGCTCATTGATAATGTATTATACACAGGATGAGCACTAATAGCTAGCTCATTGATAATGTATTACACACAGGATGAGCACTAACAGCTGGCTCATTGATAATGTATTACACACAGGATGAGCACTAACAGCTAGCTCATTGATAATGTATTACACACAGGATGAGAACTAACATCAACAGCCAGCTCATTGATAATATATTACACACAGGATTAGGACTAACAGCTAGCTCATTGATAATGTATTATACACAGGATGAGCACTAATAGCTAGCTCATTGATAATGTATTACACACAGGATGAGAACTAACATCAACAGCCAGCTCATTGATAATGTATTACACACAGGATTAGGACTAACAGCTAGCTCATTGATAATGAATTTACACACAGGATGAGCACTAACAGCTAGCTCATTGATAATGTATTACACACAGGATTAGGACTAACAGCTAGCTCATTGATAATGTATTACACACAGGATGAGCACTAACAATTAGCTCATTGATAATGAATTAAACACAGGATGAGAACTAACATCAACAGCCAGCTCATTGATAATGAATTTAACACAGGATAAGTATTAACAGCTAGCCCCTTGATATTGAATTTAACACAGGATTAGGACTAACAGCTAGCTCATGGATAATGAATTACACACAGGATGAGAACTAACATTAATAGCTAGCTCATTGTTAATGAATTTAACACAGGATGAGTTATTGATAATGAATTTAACACAGGATGAGAACTTACATCAACAGCCAGCTCATTGATAATGAATTTAACACAGGATGAGTATTAACAGCTAGCTCATTGATAATGAATTTAACACAGGATGAGAACTAACATTAATAGCTAGCTCATTGTTAATGAATTTAACACAGGATGAGTTATTGATAATGAATTTAACACAGGATGAGAACTTACATCAACAGCCAGCTCATTGATAATGAATTTAACACAGGATGAGTATTAACAGCTAGCTCATTGTTAATGAATTTAACACAGGATGAGCACTAACAGCTAGCTCATTGATAATGAATTAAACACTAATTACATAAAAGGTTCATTCAGTAGGTAAATCTGTTAATGGACTGTGAATGTATACATGTATGACTTCTGTTTACTTTATTTCACAGTTACAGTAGATATGACCTGACCCGTCCGGTAAAGCATGGTGAGTAGGCGTATAAGAAACAAAGGCTCTACCGGGTTCTAATCATTGGTTATATTCATTCAGATATGGAAGAGGCCATTGCTGATAATGTGTGTTTGGCCATATATTATGGCACAATTAATGGACAGAGTGGACCCACAAGGAAGTACAAACACAATGAGCCCTGTCAATGAAGTACAAACACAATGAGCCCTGTCAATGAAGTACAAACACAATAAGCCCTTTAAATGAAGTACAAACACAATGAGCCCTGTCAATGAAGTACAAACACAATGAGCCCTGTCAATGAAGTACAAACACAACGAGCCCTGTCAATGAAGTACAAACACAATGAGCCCTGTCAATGAAGTACAAACACAATGAGCCCTGTCAACGAAGACAAACACAATGAGCTCTGTCAATGAAGTACAAACACAATGAGCTCTGTCAATGAAGTACAAACACAATGAGCTCTGTCAATGAAGTACAAACACAATGAGCCCTGTCAATGAAGTACAAACACAATGAGCCCTGTCAACGAAGACAAACACAATGAGCCCTGTCAACGAAGACAAACACAATGAGCCCTGTCAATGAAATACATGCAAGCTGTTTCATACCAGCATCATACTTACCACTCCCTGTTTCTGTGGTGAGTCTTTACTCCATGCGTTAGTAAAAGGAGACCAAACAAGCCCCATAAAATAGGCTTCAAGCTTCTGTGAAACAGCAGAAAAGTAGAAAACAAAACATAAACAAAAGTAAAAACAAAACAAAGGTCTGTCTGAACTTGGTTATCTGCCTTTACTACTGCAGTCACACGTGTCTCTAGTCACAACCAATAGTATATATCATTGGGGGGAATAGTTACAAGGAGAGAAGATGTTTTTATTTTTACATCATATATAATCAATATTATGTCTATAACACTTCATGTTTGAAATTAATTAAATATTGCTTAATAGTTGTGTAAATAGGGTATAAAGCTGCTACCAAGAACACAGGACAAAAGTATATGGTTTTACAACATTAGTCAACAAGTGACACATTAGTATACTCCGCTGGATCAAAGTCTGAATGGACCATGTTATAGTATACTCCACTGGATCAAAGTCTGAATGGACCATGGTATAGTATACTCCGCTGGATCAAAGTCTGAATGGACCATGGTATAGTATAATGGACCATGTTATAGTAATGATTGCTTTATTGTAGCAAATGTCAAGGATGTCAGATGACCAAGTTCAACATCAGAAGAACAATAATGAATCAAACTTGTGGTCAGCATGCTCAAACATGATATATAAGGTAAAAAGGGCGTGCTGACAGATACATGTGGCATTCAAAGAAAAGTCAAAACAGGAAGCAGAGTAAAATAGTAACACCCTAACAGGAAGTACAGTAAAATAGTTACACCCTAACAGGAAGTACAGTAAAATAGTTACACCCTAACAAACAGGAAGTACAGTAAAATAGTAACACCCTAACAAGAAGTACAGTAAAATAGTTTAACTCTAGCTAACAGGAAGTACAGTAAAATAGTTACACCCTAACAGGAAGTACAGTAAAATAGTAACACCCTAACAGGAAGTACAGTAAAATAGTTACACCCTAGCTAACAGAAAGTACAGTAAATAGTAACACCCGACAGGAAGTACAGTAAAATAGTAACACCCTTACAGGAAGTACAGTAAAACAGTTACACCTTTACAGGAAATACAGTAAAATAGTTACACCCTAGCTAACAGGAAGTACAGTAAAATAGTAACACCCTAACAGGAAGTACAGTAAAATAGTTACACCCTAACAGGAAGTACAGTAAAATAGTTACACCCTAACAGGAAGTACAGTAAAATAGTTACACCCTAACAGGAAGTACAGTAAAATAGTTACACCCTAACAGGAAGTACAGTAAAATAGTTACACCCTAACAGGAAGTACAGTAAAATAGTTACACCCTAACAGGAAGTACAGTAAAATAGTTACACCCTAACAGGAAGTACAGTAAAATAGTTACACCCTAACAGGAAGTACAGTAAAATAGTTACACCCTAACAGGAAGTACAGTAAAATAGTTACACCCTAACAGGAAGTACAGTAAAATAGTTACACCCTAACAGGAAGTACAGTAAAATAGTTACACCCTAACAGGAAGTACAGTAAAATAGTTACACCCTAACAGGAAGTACAGTAAAATAGTTACACCCTAACAGGAAGTACAGTAAAATAGTTACACCCTAACAGGAAGTACAGTAAAATAGTTACACCCTAACAGGAAGTACAGTAAAATAGTTACACCCTAACAGGAAGTACAGTAAAATAGTTACACCCTAACAGGAAGTACAGTAAAATAGTTACACCCTAACAGGAAGTACAGTAAAATAGTTACACCCTAACAGGAAGTACAGTAAAATAGTTACACCCTAACAGGAAGTACAGTAAAATAGTTACACCCTAACAGGAAGTACAGTAAAATAGTAACACCCTAACAGGAAGTACAGTAAAATAGTTACACCCTAACAGGAAGTACAGTAAAATAGTTACACCCTAGCTAACAGGAAGTACAGTAAAATAGTTACACCCTAACAAGAAGTAAAGTAAAATAGTTAAACCCTAGCTAACAGGAAGTACAGTAAAATAGTTACACCCTAACGGGAAGTACAGTAAAATAGTTACACCCTAGCTAACAGAAAGTACAGTAAATAGTTACACCCTAACAGGAAGTAAAGTAAAATAGTAACACCCTTACAGGAAGTACAGTAAAATAGTTACACCCTTACAGGAAGTACAGTAAAATAGTTACACCTTAACAGGAAGTACAGTAAAATAGATACAACCTAACAGGAAGTACAGTAAAATAGTTACACCTTAACAGGAAGTACAGTAAAATAGATACAACCTAACAGGAAGTACAGTAAAATAGATACAACCTAACAGGAAGTACAGTAAAATAGATACAACCTAACAGGAAGTACAGTAAAATAGTTACACCCTAACAGGAAGTAAAGTAAAATAGTTACACCCTAACAGGAAGTACAGTCAAATAGTTACACCCTTACAGGAAGTACAGTAAAATAGTTACACCCTTAAATCTGGAATTTCTGGGTTTTCTTGTTTTTTGTTAAGATATTCCTATTTTTATATCACTTGTGAACTGGTTAACCATCAATGACAAAATTTCTTTCTGCAAATGAAGGTCTTAATCATAAAATGTTATTTTGAAATTGGACTACAAAAAGGAAACATGAGGTGGTGAATAACAGCAAAGCTGGCTTATTCAATGATAAAAAGACAAAAAAAGGAGTATGTTTTGACTTCTACACAACATTTCACCCCTTAGGAATATGGTGAGGCCCTGTATCCATAAACAGTTCTCAACATCAAATTCAACTTATGTGCTGCTTGAAATATCTATCTTAACTGCAGAAGGCCTGAAGCTTCACAGCACAACCTGCTAGTGGGGAATATTGGCTATAATTAGTAAAACATGATCAACACAGCATAACTCACTTGTGGTGATTGAGGAGTAGTTGAAATCCCAGGGCAACCAGCATACAGAAGCCCATACTAGGAGTGTAGAGGATACGCTCAGCTACCACAAAACCAACCGGGAAAAATAGGTTGGAGGCAGGAATAAAGGGAAGCACCATAAGAGTCAGCCCCTGGTAAACATAAACATTCACAACACATCAGGGAATATATAGACTTAAAATGATGATGGTTCTGTTCTCTCTCCCACACTGACTTAAAATGATGATGGTTTTGTTCTCTCTACCACACAGACTTAGATGATGATGGTTCTGTTCTCTCACCCACACAGACTTAGATGATGATGGTTCTGTTCTCTCACCCACACAGACTTAGATGATGATGGTTCTGTTCTCTCTCCCACACAGACTTAGATGATGGTGGTTCTGTTCTCTCTATCATACAGACTTAGATGATGATGGTTCTGTTCTCACTCCCACACAGACTAAGATGATGATGGTTCTGTTCTCTCTATCACACAGCCTTACAATGATGATGGTTCTGTTCTCTCTCCCACACAGACTAAGATGATGGTGGTTCTGTTCTCTCTATCACACAGACCTACAATGATGATGGTTATGTTCTCTCTACCACACAGACGTAGATGATGCTGGTTCTGTTCTCTCTCCCACACAGACTTAGATGATGATGGTTCTGTTCTCTCTCCCACACAGACTTAGATGATGATGGTTCTGTTCTCTCTACCACACAGACTTAGATGATGGTGGTTCTGTTCTCTCTCCCACACAGACTAAGATGATGGTGGTTCTGTTCTCTCTATCACACAGACCTACAATGATGATGGTTATGTTCTCTCTCCCATACAGACTTAGATGATGATGGTTCTGTTCTCTCTACCACACAGACTTAGATGATG